TCATTTTATTTCCCTTGTGTGTTGAATGGGAAGTGAGGATTTTGGTTAGTGAAGTTGAAACAGTGACATAATGTCAACACTCTGACAATGGCTTATGGTTTCTGTAGTCTAAATGTATGCATTTTGTTAAAGGTTTTTAGCCCTATTTATGGTTGGAATCACAGGGCAAATCTCCATGTGACCTTCACAGTTCTCAATGGGATTTTTAATATAGGAAGAGTGATTTCTTGATAACTGGACAATTTCACTCTTCCAAATGACACTTATTTATGTTAAACATGATCAGACAAATGCATATAATGAGTATTGGGAATGTGAATGGAATTAGCAGCTTAATTTTTCCTTTTGGGGAGGACAAGTCTTGTTGCTCTAAGACTAGCAGTGAGTCAGGTAATAAAGGAACTGTTCTGGCAAGCTGCCTCTACTCACCGAGAGGAAGAACCTCCATTTGTTCATTCCGTTCTTTGTATTTTGAAGATTGCAGGTCCGCTATAAATTGCCTTGGAGGGACTGGATAACATGTCCTGTGGAAGTGCCCTGTATCTGTTGAACGTAGATTGTATAATGTAGGCAGGATGGAGGGCCAAACCAGACACAAGGCAGAAAATGAGTAATCAAGTTTGTTATGTTTTTTTTTAAAAATGGTCCCAAGGCTATGCAATTCCCAGAGCCCAACTTCTGTTCCAGGAGCTATGCCCTAGGGTTCATCTCTGGACTTTCCCATGAAAACGGGACCAAGGTAAGATGCCATCTAGCTTTTAACTTCCATACAAATAAGAATAGTTGAGTGCAGAAATGTGGTCTTCCTCCCTGATGAGGAACATTGGCCTGTCCTTCCTTCTGACTAGTCCCCAGCTCTCTTAGCTATAGCTTGTTTAAGAGAGAATATATACTTCAAGCTAGCCTTAAATTGGAATCATAGGGGAATCTTAAAAGCGAGTCTTTTTAAATTCAGAAAAAGAAGCTAGTAGTGTTCATGGAAGAGGCCAAAAAAGACAAGATGGTGGACATGTCTTCATGATGCAAGCCACCACCCCCCTTTTTTTTTTTTGTTTTAGTATGCGCTGTATTGGGCAATACAGCAATGGTTCACAGTGGACCTTATTAGGAAGATACTTTTGTGACATGTCTTAAAGAAGATATTTTAATGAAACCTTTGCTCTGTAGATCTTGCATACCTGATGCTGGTTATAATAAATCACCCTTGAAAAATGAACAAGTTGCCCTGAAAAAAGGGATTTAAAGCAAAAGAAATGTGAGTTGAGAAATCACATAAAATTGGAAATGAGAGCCATCATCAGTAATGGAAAATATTAAACTATTGCAATTATTTGATTTGGGGATAAGATTAAATTGTGGGAAAGACCTCAAAGCTTTAATCCCAACACGATTCCTATATTTTCCATTGCCTTTCTCTCCGATCTCACTTTTTCTGTTTTTCCCATTCCTGTCTCTCTCCCCCTTCTTCGCCTCATCTCCCAATTGAAGCTAATACTTCAAAAGAATTCAATTCACAAAATGCTTTCCCTAATAAAAAATATATAATCCAGGAGATCTGATCTTACTTTCCTTTAGGCATAGGTTTCTTGAAAGATTTCTAATGGCCACGTGGTGGGGCCACAGTTGAAAGAAGAGAGGTTGTTTGAATGTGCTCATGATGTTAGGAAGCAAGATAGAATGACAATCTATATGGATTATTCTGCAGAGCGTATACCCCAGGAGTAGGCGACCTTGGCTCTTTTATGACTCGTGAAGTCCACGAATCATAAAAGAGCCAAGGTTGCCTATTCTAGTATACCCTATCCTTAAAACATTACACTAACATTTTCTTTTTGGAGCAATGGTAGTGGGATTCTTTAATGTCCCTCCCTCCAGTCTAATTTCTCTGATTTAAATCATGCCAAATGTCTATAGGTAGTCCTTGACTTACAACAGTTCATTTAGTGACCAAAGTTACAACGGCACTGAAAAAAGTGACTTAGGACCGTTTTTCACTGTTACAACCTTTGCAAAATCCCCATGATCATGTAACCAGAATCCAAATGGTTGGCAACTGGTTCATGCTTAAGACCGTTGCTGTGTCACAAGATCATGTGATCCCTTTTTGTGACCTTCTGACAAGCAAAGTCAATGGGGAAGCCAGAATCACTTAATAACCTGTTGTGCAGGCTCTGAGGTGTTGCTTGATAAAAAAAAAAGTACAGGAAACGAGAAGTTGCCTTAAAGCTTTATGTTTGTATTCCGCTGAACAAAGACGGGCCCCTCTAAAAAAAGAGAGAAAGCCCCGAATGACAGAAACCCACTATTTTTATACCTTTTGATTACATAAGCAATCCACCCAGCAAAGCTGACACACATAAGATAAAGACTTCGCCCAGTTAAGGCTGGCACAGTATAGATAAGAAGGGAGAAAGCAGAAGTAGCTAAAAGTGTTCCCTTTGGGGTGTTTCCCTAAGACTCCGTATGTTCACGGGTGGGTTAGGACATTGGGTGTTCTCTTGCTGTCCTTTCATGACCCTACATCCATGACTCTGCAAATGCCCAAAGACAGTGGGACCATCTGCACATATTCACAATTCATACTTCCTATGCTGTCCCCTAATTCCCGGTCAACAGGGGGGTATTTTTTTTTAATTCTTTTTATATTGGTTTTTTTTATGGTTTGTAAGCCACCGAGAGTCAGAGAGTGAGTGTGTGGCCATATAGATCTTCTAAATAAATAAATAATTCTCTCCCCACAAAAGACAATGGCCTCAAAAAGAAATAGATTCGGTTTTCACAGTGCATGGCCTACTATATATTCCAGGAAATTAGTTCAAGAAGGAAGCAATCTGATCATGAACAGTAATTCCTTGAGAAGGCTCATACCAGAATGTATTAATATTGTATGGGCACTTACTATACAGTATTTCCTTTGGCCCAGCTGTTACTGAAGATGCCCACTTGAGGGCAGACATATATCAGCAAATGAAAGGAACAGAAGTTCAGCTCCTTTCACTCTGCTGTGGCTTCCTGAAGAATTAACATCTTGAGAACATTACTCCCATTTAATGCCCGATTTCCCTTACATGCCTATGAGGAAAAAAGGCTATAAAGCCCTTTCCATGCTTCCATGTAACAGCCAAACTCACCTTGAGGAATAAGTTAAAAGGATTGCGATCCAAACTATTTTTTTTCTTCATTAAATTGAAGTATGGGACAATTTTCATCCAACCTCCAACTTTTCCTTCTTGGGGTGGACTTGAGTCAGATTTCAGGCTAGGATTTGGTATCGAGACTATATTGATTGCACTTGTGAATGATCTTTGTTATGCCAACTGCACTAGCTCTCAGTAGGACTCTGCATGCAATTCAAGAAGCTTGTTGTCACCTTTAATGCCTGACTTGGTATGGAATCAGTACTTGCAGGAATTGCTGTGCCTCTTCCTAATAGTTTCTGCCCATCTCACCAAATCAAGCAGAGTGGGCATCCTCTGGATCTCATAGGTCAGTGATGGTGAACCTTTTAGAGACTGAGGGCCCAAACTGCAACCCAAAACCCATTTATGCATCGTCAAGTGCCGGGTGGGCGTGGCCCATTGGGTGGGTGTGGCTGCGGTGGTAACGGCAGACTGGGTGGGACTAAAAAGTTCGATCAATTCCAATTTTGCGAGATCTTTTTTTTTCCTCGCAAGAAGTTGAAATTGAATGATTGATTGAACCTTTTTTTTTCTGCACATGGTGGCGGAGGCCTAAAGCAAAATGATTTTATAAAATGCAGCTGAAGACTTAGTACTGGGGTGACGACGCGCGTGCCCACAGAGAAGGCTCTGCGTGCCACCTGTGGCACGCATGCCATAGGTTCGCCACCACGGTCATAGGTAATGCAGGGTCATTTGTTGGCCCTAGGAAAAGTGCTTTCTCTACTGCGGTACCTGTCTTGTGGAATAGTATCCCCATTGAAATATAGACAGCCCTATCCTATTGACCTTCCAGATTACCCCAGGCACTGGTGACAGAATTTTAAGGGGTGGGGGAGGCAGGATTATCTGAGAGATTGATACTGAGTTTTTGACAGGGGCATTTAGATTCCTTTTTAATGGTTTGTAAATGTGGATTTTTTTTAAAAAACACCCTTGTTCACTTCCAATGGCTCTTTTGGTAGATGGGCAGCTATATGAACTTGTTAAATAAATACAACAGGTGCCATTCTAAATGCCATTTGGTTTAATCCATTTATTTATTTGGCCACCTATCTTACCACAGGGTAATTCTGGGCGTCTTACAATCTTAAAAAGATAAAAACTATACAAAACCTAAGAGACATAAATAATGTAAAGATCCAAATACTGAGCCCCAATTAAAAGATGGGGAGGGAAGGAATAGAATGGGGGGGGAGGTGGGATCTGTTGTTAATCTATCAACCACCCATGTGAAACCCCTTCACTGGAGCCCCACACCTAGCTGCTTATGGAAGGTCAGAAGGATTGGAGCCAACTTCACTGGAATTGGGGGGGGGGGACACAAGATGTTCCAAAGGGCAGGCACAATGGCAGAGAAAGCCCTTCTCCTGGAACCTGCCAGCCGGAATACTCTGGCCGATGGGACCCATAGCATGATTCCTCTGCCAACACTGGTGCAGTGGGCCAATGCCAGTGGGATGAGATGGTCTCTCAAGTAGCCTGAACCCATCCATGCCAGTTTTACATTTGGTTCTCATCCCACTTCAAACCAAGGAAATCAGTTATGAACACTTGAAGTTTCTACATGAAAGCTGTTCACAATTCATAGATACATGCCATAAAGAATGTATAAAAGGAGATACAGCAATTATGTCCATTGTGACTGGTCTCGTATCAAAGGAGACAGAGGCTCAGCTAATAATATTGTATAGAATATAAAATGGAGTACATTATAAACTCACAAAAGACTCTATTTTGCTACCACTCCTATTAAAGAAAAAATTAAAACCTGATCAAGAGGCAAAGCTATCTGATTTAAATCAAAGAAAACTGTCAAAATAATTTGTGTTTTGTCATTTATTTATAGTTATTTGAATTTCAAAACAACTGATATTCAACTAGTGTCCCATGATTCCTCCATTTATCTAAGTATAAAATGTAAAGGATTATAAATTCAAAATTAACATTTTTAGTGCACCAAAATTTACACAATTACGTGGGAATTTAATGTTTTAACCATAGAAATCAGTCTTCAATTACTGGAATGTGATTTTCCTTAGAAAAATTGCTTTAAATATCACTGCTGTACTGAATTGAATTTTGTTTGCTTGGTCTTAAGTCTCTCATGAACTCTGCCAAGTTGTCATGGAAGACTGGAGTTGTGCAGAATTCAATTGAAAAACTGTGTTCTACAGACAATATAAATCTCTCCCCATCAGTATGGTAAGTTGTATTAAACTTCACAGAATTCCTCCTTTTGACAAGGGAAAATATACATGAGACAGAGAAGTGATGCAGTCAATATGCAATAAAACATGTTTGGTGATGATATCCTGAATTACTTGTTCTTCATTGACCTGGTGGTAAAAATTGGGGTTCCTTCCTCATTTCTCTGAATAATTTAAGAACATTTTCTGCACTTAAAATTATTGCAAGGAAACAAGTAACAGTGATTCCAATGCCTATAACGCAGGCAGCAATGTTCAGGCATCTGGCTGTCTTTCCATAGGTAGCTGCGGTTTCAGGATCTCCAATAACTTTACGATCCCTTGCCTGAAAAGGATAAAATGAAAAAAAATTAAACCTTAAGGGATATTTATACCAGTTATAAACCTCAAATTATCTACATAGGACTGCTGTGAAAATTAACGCTATGTTCAGTCAAATACAAAGTTCCTATCCCTCATATCTTTGTTCATATTTTAGCCTTGGGGGGTTGGGGGGGTTAGACTTGGAAACAGTATTTGTCCATTTTATTTTTGCTTTTTTTTATTCCATTTCCATGAAAAGACTATGAGAGCTATATTTTGTTTGGTGTTAATATATTTATAACTCTGAATTGTATGGATGCAAAGTGTTGAGAGTGTAGTGTATTAACACCATCAGTAAACAACCCACTCTTTTGAAGCCAGATGGGATCAGGTTTTTCTCAGAGAATTTGAGAAGACCAGAAACATTTTGGAACACTTCTCTTCCAAAAGCACAATTCCTTTCCTTTAAAAACGATCTCATTTCAAAACCAAAATCTAGTGGGACAATCCCCATCTAAACTTCATTAGCAAACAAAGTCAAAGCTGGTTACTTCATACATTCTTGCCTGTCACACACATAAAGTTAGAGCTGGAAAAGAGAGAGTACTAAAGCAAAAAATCTCACAAATAAATGATGGCAAATTTGAACCCCCGTATACTTTTCTTCTTATACATCAACAAAAAATACTATAAAAATACTGTAAAACTATAAAAATACTATACTATACTATACTATAAAAAAATACCAGCCCCTAGATCCCTAAATTGTGCCAGCGTTCAGGAGAATTACGATTTCTTCAATGAGCGGGGAGGATGGCCATCTCCAGCCTTAAGCAATCTTTTCCACTGCGTAAATCACAATTCTTATGCAATTCTGTAGAGAAAAATCCAGCCAGCGGCGCATGGAAGAACGAAATGGAGTCCGGAATTTCCACTTAATTGGGACATTAAAAAAAAAAAAATATCCGCGGACTGCAACGAGGGATGGAGCCAGAAAAGTTTAAGTGAATCCTGAAATACTGAACGAAGCAAGAAAGAGAGGCAAACGTTCCCGAAAGAAATGTGATGCCGGGGGGAAAAACTTCGATGAAATCGAAACTGCAGAATTTCTACGGGAAAGAAGCACCGGCGTCTAACTAGCTTCTCGGTCCCTTCCGGGCGGGCTCGCTCGCTCACCTTGATGGAGAAGACGAGGGCGCTGAAACTGAGACAGCAGAAGCAGTAACCGCTTAAGAATAAAAGGTTGAACAAAGACCAGAGGAGATAGTCGCGGGGCTGCTCCCCGGCGAGTCTCCTCGAGGCAGGATTGAAGCCAACAGAGCTCTCCTCGTTGCCGGCGCTGTCGTAGGAGACAGGCTGGAGGTCGAGGCAAATGGCGCCGGACGACATAGCTGCCGAAAACAACAAACTCTGCGGAGAGCCCCAGAACCAGAGCTGCCGCCAAACTCAAGAAAAGAAGAGTGGGGGGAACCGGGCGGGGCTAGTTGAGGGGCGTGGTCTGCAGGAGAAATGAAACCTGGCTAGAAATCAGAAAAATGAAACCGAGCGACTGAAGCCCTGAGTGGTTTCCGACAAAGGAGAATAACGTTGTCTTTAGGCCAATAGCTTGGGAGCTGCGTGACAGCGCAGGCCCCACACGTGTTTAAGAGCTGATATTCCCATCCCGCGGCAGCCCAAAACGGTCTTAGTGGTGCTTGCCTAATATGGAGTTCGAGGCTTCGTCAAGCCAGGCACTCCGGTGGGCAGGGGTGTGGACAAACATTGATATCCTTGTTCCGTCATGACCAGATTGAGAGAAGATGCGAGTGCTTTCAGTTCATAACAGTCGTGGAGAATCTTTGGGGCTCACGTCAGACGTCCGGAAAATGCCTAACATGACTGCTGGCTTGTCAGTCCCCCCACCCCTCCAAAAGCGAAACAATTATTTACATTTTTTAAAAAAAAAAAAAAATACAGTCAACCGTGTGTGGTGTTATATATTACATAAGGAAATTTGACATAATTTTAAAGATGGGACTGAATAAAACAAGCTCAGGCATGTGTAAAATAAGAATAATGGAAAAAACATTATTAAAACAGTTTCATTATTAAAACAGTTTCATGCAGCCTATTAATCAGACAGCAGGGAAACTGCAATTATGCAAAAGTATAAAGTGAAAAAAATCAGTGACTTACAATAGAGAAAACTATACGCATACTGATAATTGGATTTAAAATATTGTGCCAAAATTTACCCTACTTTTAACAGTAATTTTGCATTGAACTAAACAAAAAATAGAGAACACAAGACTTTCGTTGCTGAGTTTTAATAAGTATGAAATTGTACTTTAGCAATTCAAACTGATGGTCAAATTGGCCCTAGTTTCTCTCTCAGTACTCTCTAATAAGCAACTGAGTAAGAAGATCATTTATACAATTTATCAGAATACTTTAGCAAAGAACCAGCAGAAAATAATAATAATAATAATAATAATAATAATAATAATAATAATAATAATAATAATAATAATAATAATAATAAAGTTGGAAGAGACCTTGGAGGTCATCAAGTCCAACCCCCTGCTCAGGCAGGTAACCCTATACCAGTGGTGGCGAACCTTATACCAGGGTAAGTAAAGAAGTTGGCCAAAGCCAAGGATTATTAAAATACTTATTTCAGGATGAGTAATGCTGGAGGTGCACTTCAAGCTGAGTTTTGGGTAAGATTACCATATTTCAAATTGGGGAAATTGGGGGAAAGTTAATCAGCCCATTAGTTAAACTCTCATTCTCTTCAGGGTATGCTTGCATAATACATTAAGCTAAAAACCATAACTATGAAGGCAGCATTCACATGATGTGAAACCCAGTAGAGTGGGAAAGCAGGCCTAAGGCCTGCAGGGACCCCAAAGAGTGGGAAACAGAACAAGGGGTACCTCTTGAAGTGGAGGCGGCCTTGGGAAGCCCAGAGTAGACCCTGTGTGAGCTGGAGAGGTGCTGCACTGTGGGCCTGGACCTGCACAAGGCTTCCCATGGCCTTCCTACCCAAAGCATCCGGCATTCTCCTTAATGACCTATACTTAATAATCACATTGAGGAGAATGGGGATGGTGTCTGGCACATGGAACCAGAAGATTTCTTTAGAAGATAGGCTTAAGATTCAGAAAGATATTGAAAGACTTGAAGACTGTTCAACATAAAAAAATGCAATTCAGTTGGTGAGAAACGCAAGATTTTACACTTAGGCAAGAAAAACCAAATGTACACCTATAGAATACAGTAGGTGGTACTTGGCTCAACAGCAATAACTATAAGAGGGATCTAGGAGTCCTAGTAGATAATCACTGAAGTATGAGCCAACACTGGGCCACAGCTGCCAAAAAAAGCCAATGCAGTATTAGGTTGCATCAAGAGATGGATAGTATCAAGGTCATGTGAAATGTCAGTTACCGCTTTATATTGCCCTGGTAAGACCTCATTTGAAATATTGAGTCCATGTTTTGGTCACCACAATACAAAAAAGATTTTGAGACTCTAGAAAGAATGCAGAGAAGAATAAAGATGATTAGGGGGCTGGAGGATAAACATACAACGAATAGTTGTAACAAAGAGAAGGACTAGGGATGACTTGATAGTCTTCCAATATTTGAGGGGCTGCCACAGAGAGTAAAGTGGTCGAACTATTCTCCAAAGCACCTGAGAGCCGAACAAAAATAGCTGGCAATTTATCAAAGAGAGAACCCAACCTAGAACTAAGGAGAATTTTCCTGACAGTGAGAACAATTAATCAGTGGAATTAATCTGTTGCTATTAGAACAATTCTGTGAATAGGCTAAAGCAATTTTTTTATTGCTGATCACCTAATTTACAAGAATATCACCTTGGAAAGGATGGTTCCATAGATACCCAGGTTCTGAATTGTGAAAGACTTTAAAGGTACCAACTAGCACATTCAATTGCACCTGGCAGCCAGCTATTAATTAGTGCAGCTCTGTACATATATGGAATAAATATCCTTGTAATATCTAGTTTCCTTCTGACAGAGGAATGAAACAAAAACGACAATGAACATTTAAGGAATGAATGTTTTTATTAGTTGCCTTTGCCAATAAAAACTCTACCTACATAGAATATAAAGATGTGTTTTTATTTGTTTTGAACTCACCTCAACTTCATATTGAAATACAGAAAGCTCTGATATTGAAAACATACTGAAATACATAAAATGTTCCATGAGAAATTAAAATACAGTAACCCTTTTTATTTGTTAACTTCCCAGAGTCACTTAGGTTAAAACAGGCAATATATAAAATTGATAAATAAATATAATAAATTGATAGATAAATAAATAAATAAAACATAACAACAAAAATGAATGACTCCTAGGAGCAACAAAGATTAGGAAGGCAGAAATCTAGACCTTGGGTTAAAGAAAACATCAACTCAGTTAAATAATCTACTTTTCAATAGATAACTTCAATAAGTTGTGGTATGGAAATAGGATATAGAGTGACGAAAATAATCTTTATATACCCAAAAATGTAACCAAGTTGTTAATTGATATGCTTAAGGCATGCAGCAGAAAGCTAAACCAATGCTAAAATAGAATACATCGTTGAAAATAGTATCTTGGATGTATGGTTTAGTTCCCTCTGAATTCTTCTATTTCATCTGGAAGCTTCATTATTTCGAAGGCTGTGTTAATGATGAACAGTGCACTACTGATTAATATAATGATGATAATAATATAGATTATGATGGTTATTATCACTGCAGCAATATTCAGGTACTTGGCTGTCCTGCCATGATTAGCTGCACCTTCAGGGTCTCCAAGAACTTTACGATCTCTTGACTGAAGTGAAAAGGGAGAGAAACTGATTTTTAAAAAATAAGAATTAGCAATGGAAACATCTTTGCAAATGTTTTAATCATTTAAATCTTAGACCGAGTGCCCAAATTGCAACCCAAAACCCACTTATGCATCGTCGGGTGCCGGGTGGGTGTGGCCCATTGGGTGGGTGTGGCCCATTGGGTGAGCGTGGCTGCGGTGGTAACGGCAGATTGGGTGGGACTAAAAAGTTCAATCAGTTCCAACTTTGCAAGATCTTTTTTTTCCTGCAAGAAGTTGAAATTGACTGATTGAACCTTTTTTTTTTTTTTGCACACTGTGCCGGAGGCCTAAAGTGAAAAGGTTTTATAAACCCAGCTGAAGGCCTAGGACTGGGGCGACGGCACACGTGCCCACAGAGAGGGCTCTGAGTGCCGCCTCTGGCACCCGTGCCATAGGTTCGCCACCACTGTCTTAGGTAATCATATCAATATCAATAGTTTTATCTTCAATGCTATCAAGAATGATCTAGGATTATTGTATCCCTCTCTACCTAGAAATTAGAGCAGTGTTTTCCAACTTGGCCACTTCCAGGTACAGTATATGAACTTCAACTGCTGGAATTCTTATAAATTGCCTGCTGGAAATCTGGGATATGAAGTAAACACACTTGGAAATTGCCTCAATTAAGAAATGTTGATTTAGAGAGTAGTAATCATTCTTTTCCTGAAAAATGGAATAAGGCATGTAACTTTTAATGAATTACTGATCTTTTATGTTTTTCATATATTGGGAAGAAAGTAAGATCACCAAAAAGCACCATTATAGGAAATACAACTTTTCTTTTTGTGAAAGACTCTAGAGCAGGTATGAGCAATCTCTTTTGCAGCAACTAGAAACCCCTGCTCAAAGCTAATAAAACAAATAAACAAAAAATATATATTTTCAGTCCTGTCAACTTTACATCAAAATTATGTCTTTAATAGCCCTTATTATATAGCAGATATAGTATTAATGCTCTTCTAGATTAGTACAACTTCAGTAAGCATAGTGAATGTTCAAGAAATTGTGAGTTTATTCTAACATCTGGATGTCCACAAATTTCTACTCTGTATATTGTTAAGACAAAATAGAAAATAGGCACGAAAATATTATAATTCTAAATAATTAGCTTAATTTATCACTAACATGCCTACAAATTTAGTAAACAGACAAATCAAATATTCTACTATACAAAATTGAAAACTCTAGGTTCTCCTACCAATTCAGGCTCAGAAAAGAATTCAAGCCAATATTGGATGGATTATGTGCCATAAGCTGACTCTTAACAACCACATAGACTTTCTCCATAATGATATGTCCCTAACCCGATCTTTCAGATCTTCCAGCAGTGCACTAATTGTCACTGTAATTGAATTCATCCATCTTAGACTATGGGATTATATTATGATTATAATTTGCATGTGAGAAAGTTGGTTGTAAATGAGTTCAGTGACAGATTAATCTGGGCAAAACTAACAACTTGGTTAAACTTTATTCTAATTTGAATTTACCTCACTGAAAAAGTAGACATTTTCAAATCAAGCAATGATTTCCCTTTCCCCATGCATAATGAACCTTTGCTCTTTGGACAGATTGTATTGTACGTTCAT